ATATTAGCTTTTAGGTGATTATAAGGAAAGTAACTAAATTAATAGAGTTCAGGGTGGGAGTTGCCTGCGGGTGGGTTCTTAAGTAAAGTGCTGTCATGAGATGAGATGAAGTTGTGTAACTTGGTCTCAAATTACCGTATCCGAGTCAATACATCTTTGCTGTCCCATGGTAAAACAAAGTAATGACTGGAAGCTAAGCCATAGGGCCCTAATCAAGCCAGATCATCTGGCAGTTAGTGGAGGAGCAAGGCAGGCAAACAGTCTCCACAGACCTAATTGAAAGGTTTGCAGCCTTCTCACATGGGGCAGTGAGACAGTCACAAGGATTTGGACAAAGTTTCCTGGACTAATATCAACATCTGGGAATCCTGAGTCCGAAAACACCAGAGCTCTTGGATTAGAATGGAATTAAGATGTCTGTAAAAGAAAATGTACTGAATGTGTGGGTTGTTGTTTTGTTTTTTACTAATTTTAAATATATAAGTAATATATTAAATGCAAAAAAATACATATAATACAAAAATATTTAACATTACAAATAAGTTTAAAATACCTGTTGGCCAAGATCTCCAAATCTAATACCTTCTTTGGAGGTAACCACCATCGTCAGTATTTTTCTCCTTAAATCATAGGCATCACTGTATCATTAGAAAATATATTTTATGTTGCTCTTTTTAAAATATTTAAAATGAATGTACACATGGTTCTGCAACTTGCTTTAGTCATGTAAGAATATCTTGCAAACCTTTCCACATCAGTAAATACATTCATTGGGTGCTTATGTAACAGTCACTCTTCCAAGCATTGTATTTCTATTAATGCATTTGGTCCTCACAGCAGTGCAGTTATTAGTGCTGTGTTATCATTGTGCCCATTTTGCAGTTGAGGATCCTGAGGGACAGAGAGGTTGGGGAAATTGCCCAATTTAGTGGCAGAGCCACTATCTGGATTTTGTTTGAGGAAGACTTACTCCAGATCACTCTCGTGGTAACTGTTTTACACCACCTCTCCGATATACATAAACCTACACCTGCACGCAGGACGTATCAACCGCAAACCCACGGGCCCACCTTCTGTGAACTTGCAGTGACTGTGAGTGATATGCAGCTACTGTTCAAGTTTTAAAATGCCACCAAGTGTCTCATGATGCTCAGCATTGTAGTTGATAATAGCATAAGTGAGATAATAGAAGTAGGACTGGTTTTGAGGAGAATAATGCCCGTAAGAATGCAGAGCAGCCCCCGTTGTCCTGCTGCTCCATTCCCCTCCTTCCCTTGCCATCTCTATCTGATCTGTGGGCAGCATTCCATTTGCGTCAAAAATAACGTCAATCTAGTGAAAATACTGAATGACTCACAGCATTACTGTAGGGAAACTGGTTGCTGTGTAATAGGATATATAACATCCTAATTTCATAGAACATTTTTCATAACAGCTGCTAAAATCATAATCGAATCCATTAAATTTTTTTAAAGGATGCAATTCGAAGCAATATTGAAGCTAGTCTTCAAATGCAGGTACACTAGGGTGGAGTCTCACCCATGCAACACCACTCTATCCTTAAGTACTTCATTTCTTTTCTGTGTTTGTCTGTCTGTATTTATTAATCTACTGGAGTCTGCTCATCTTTTGTGTGTCTAGCTGCATTTGAGTCAGAGGTAGGCTTCTTTCAGAGGCTGGAGGGTCTGAAAAAAAAGAATAGAGAAGGAAAGGAGAGATGAAAAGGAAATTTCCCTCTGATTCTTATGGACAACAGAACACGATAGCCTGGAGAGAAGGGGTAGGAGAAGAGCCCAGGGTCTTGGGTTTATAAAAGCAGTGTTAGGTTATTGATTAAGGTCTCTGTAGAGAGTGAATGACAGTGAGAGAACATGGCCACCTAAGCCCTTACATTCAGTTGCATATAACTTAGCAATGTGGAGCCAGTTGGATTTCATCTGCCACATTGTCATCCTCAAAACTGACAACTAATTTTTTGATGTAAGAATTTTACTCCTTGGATAAATATAAAACCAAATAAAATCCCTCAGGTTTTTTTCTTTCTTCGATACTATATACTTCTGGAAATTTGCAAAGTTAGGACCTGACCTGTATTTTTGTTTGGAACATAAAGTAAAACTAAAACAAAGACTCGACGAAGGCAAAAGATTACTTGTGAAGTTTACTTTCAGACTTGAGAGTGACCTTCCAGAAGGATGGTAAGTGCTTTTTTTTTTAAAAGTTTTTTTTTATTATTTATTTGAAAGAGAGAGAGAGCAGGGGGAGGAGCAGAGGGAGAGGGACAAGCAGACTCTGTGCTGAGCACAGAGCCTGGCACAGGGCTGGATCCCAGGACCCTGAGATCATGACCTGAGGCGAAATCAAGAGTCTGGAGATTAACCAACTGAGCCACCCAGGCTCCCCCAGATGATAGACTTCTGAGGACTGAGCTCTATCCAGTCTCATCCACAGATTAACTGTGTGATGCAGCTAGTAAACAAGTTAGTAATCTTCTTTGAGCCTTGTTTTTCCTATCTGGAAAAGAAGGCTGGGATAGAATCCCAAAGGTTCTTCTGAGTTGTAATATTCTGATTCTTACACAACAGGATAGGAAAAGATAGCTTCTGGTTACCCAACCACAGAAGTCCTATACACATTTTCCTTCTCTGCCCGACACCTCCTCTAACACTCCTAAGGGGGGTGTAGCTTGTGGCGTCTTTAGTAGTTGCTTCCTGTGGACAGCTTTCCTTCCAACTTCCTGCTATTGAGGTGAAAGTTCTCCACTCCATTCCATTTTTCTGGTTCTTTACTTAAAAAACATTTGTTCTCAGGGTGGAATATATAAATTGCTGATTTGTAATTCATGAATCACTGCTATAAAAGGACCCCGAGAACTTTGTTTTCGGGTCCTCAAAAATTGTTAATTGGTTGCAGCGTGTTTCTGGCCACTTGGATAATGGACTTAAGGCACTGCTTTTCCAGCTAACTTCATCTTTAATAGATGTAATTCTGTATTTGTGCTCGAGCAGTTTGCACCTACTCAGTGCTAGCTCATATTAAAGCAGATATTCTAGATTGCTTTGGGGGTTGTTTGATATGAGTACCAGGCAAATTACTGAGTAGTTAATGGAGCCAGAAGTCCCAGAATAAATTCCCCACACTCTAAACCCTGCTAATAAGTAGCTCTCATGTTCCCTTACTTTATTTGTTCTGTACCTAGTGATGGAGTAGTTACTGCAATCCTGGATGTTGGGTGCTATGTTAGGTCCTCTGGGGCCAGGCTTTTATTGCAAAAGGAGCCATGTTTACAAAAGTAGAACAAGCTTCCTCCTTGGGTCTTCTCATCACCAAGTAACCAAAGCTATTATAAACCAACCAAATAAGAAATCTGAGAAATTATTTTTCTGCAGTTTTCAACATGTCTTCCTTTTTATGCTTTCTTAACACGTATGTGGAAGTTTAATAAGAATATTTCATATGTAGCCAATTGGAGAAATGAATTTCCTAGATTAGTCACATTATATGTGATTTTACAACCAAAAATACTGAACTGTAATGGCAGGAAAATTCTTTTTCTAGTAACTTGTTCAACCTTAGCTAAATTTGGAGGGCACAGACTAGTAGCCTGGGAGTCAAAAAACAAGAAAAATCATGGCAGCTCATCAGCCAGCTGTGCCGACAAGAGCCCGTTACTCAAGTTCTCTGAACTTCAGGAGAGGATAAAACATAACTTGGCAGCTGTTGCGTGGGGTTGTGAGGAACACATGAGGTGGGGTGTGCGTGTGTGTGTGTGTGTGTGTGTGTGTGTGTGACTGTGCTTTGTGTTAAAGAAGATACAATCCAAATACAAGATAGATAAACTGTGAAACGGGCTTGTATGACAGTCTGTCTAATTATATTGCTTTCATCTGTGTGGTGTTCCCACATTTTATATGTAAACAAGAGCTTGTAAGGTTGATTATCTCCCAATTATCACAACTAATGAACTCTTAATCAGCAGCTGCTAGTTTAGATTTTATTGAAAGGAAGAAATTAAAGTGATCAAGGAGATTATTTTTTCTCCATTGACATGTAAACAATAAAGAGTACTAATTAGAAAATATTTAGCTGTCCTTTATAAATACCTGAATAGTCTGACTCTTCTGACTATTCACTTTTCTTGCAAATACAGGAAATGAAGAGTCAGAACCTTCTGTAAATATTGTCATTCAGTGGATGTATCTTCTAGGGAAAATATGTTTAATATAATTTGTTAGAACCATATGCCAAATGCAGAGTTCCATAGGTAAGAGAGACACAACCTGAGATGCTTCCTTGTTTTGGTCACAATATTTTTGGAGCACACCTTCATAATAATACTGTGAAAAGGAATTTTCTCCAGTAATGCTACTGTAAGAAATTGTTTTACTCCATTAATATCAGTACATATTAATTTTCTGCAACTCAGTTATATGCTTTATTTTTAACACTTTAAATCCGGAAGTACTTAATTATTGATTCTGTGAACATTATGACTTCATTTAATGACTGCCACTCTAAAAAATTAAAATAGGATTGATGGTCAAACTACATTATTTCTAAGGAGCAGAAGCATTCCAGATAAATTCAACCAGAGAACAATTTTTCCTCAGCCAACGCCTACATAGATCGATGGGTAACATTTCCTTCTCCCCTTTGGAATGGTGACTTGGAGTTCTGACTTGGACTCAGTGCAGCAAGATTAAAGGTAGTGAGAGGCAGACCACAGAGGACCATGTTGGCTCTTTGGATGTTAGATTTTTTTGTTGCCTTGGTTACCTTCGGTGTTGGTTTCTTCCATTAGGCTTTGTACATTTCTCCTAAATCTCACTTGATTTGTTTGTTACCTGTGGGGTTATCAGACAGGCCAGCATGGTTGTCACCTATTTTTTGCCTGGAATTATTGATAACCTTGAGATTTTTGTTATCAGTTTCTGTGGTCTCTTTGACGATCCTCTCCAAAGGTTTCTCTCGCTGATTATTTTGCTTCATTCTTTTCTTAGACCTGAATGAGGCTGTCCCAGAGACAGAGCGCCTGGATTCAAAAGCACTGAAAACCCGAGCCCAGCTCTCTGTGAAGAACAGACGCCAGAGGCCCTCTAGGACAAGACTCTATGATAGTGTCAGTTCAACAGATGGAGAAGACAGTCTGGAGCGAAAGGTGAGCCCCATTGACTGATTCCTGACTTGCAGTGTAGAGCTGTCTCCTTGTTCCTACAGCTTATTAAAGATGATTTTTCTGCAGCCAGATTCTATGCCCTAGATGGAAACAGCTGGAATAGTTCACTGCTTGTCTCCTAAATTCTTACTCAACTCGATATATTGTAATTCAGCTTATTTCTGTACTCATTCAATGAACTAACCCAAGAGCATTATCCATATTGTCGTATTTCATGATGGTGCTTTTATATTCAGCTGTTGGTTTTACCTAGTGGGAAATAAGGAATGTACAAGTAATTGTTTCTGTATGTCTTAGGTGTCTGTCTTAGCTACAGTGGTAATATGGTGAATTGCTGTAAACTATGCAGTCTCATCTGTAAACCCCCCAAAAAACTGGTTTTCAAGGGGTTTACTAAAAAAAGTTCGGTCTGATTTCAAAGTAAGTATTCCATGGAGCTGATGCTCAGCGGCATGACCTCCTTTATAATCTCTTATACCAACAGCCTTCAAACAGTTTCTATAACCACACACACATTACCAAATCACTTCTGCCCAAGGGTTTGAGAACTTCTCCAGAATCAGATTCTGGTGCTCCATGCCTCACTCCAGTGGCTGGCAGTGTGCCCTTCTCGTCTGACCACATAGCTGAATTTCAAGAGGGACCACTGTGCCTGGAAAAAGAGCCTTCCTCCCTTATTTGGGGAGACACTTCACTCTCCTCTCCTTCAAAATCTGATCATGATATGGAAGAATCTCCATGCCACCATCAAGCTGCCACCAAGAAAATACCACAAGAAAAAGGTACTGTTGATTTTTATTGTTGTTTTTGCTTTTGTTTTGTCTAATTTCACTAACTCCTTGATTTGTGCAATATTAAGAATAGCTTTTTCTGTCATAGTCATAAGTCCTTTGTCTTCTCACACCTAATAATTAATATTGCTTTCTTTTTATGTTGTGGGATAAGAGCACATGCCTCTCCCATCTATTTATTTATTTATTTATCTATCTATCTATCTATCTTTTCCTACCAGGTTAGTATTTTTACTTCTTCAGCTGTCCACAAGTTTATTACTATTGAAGGAAATTCTTCAGGAGGCCTACTAGAGATTTTATAGAATAGCAGCCCAGAGTTTAAATAAACACTAACATACTCACATTGAGAAAAGAAAAAAAAAAATGTATATAATATGTATGTAAAAATATGTATGTATATAATATCTATAAAAATGCATTGCATATGCACATATACATAGATACATGTGTGTGTGTGTGTGTGTGTGTGAAGATGAAAGCAGTGTAAGTTTTAAACCATTAATTGGTTTTTATTTAGAAGAAATTTTCACAGTAATGATATATTACAAAAATTCTGACAGGAAATCTATGATAAAGATAATACAGAGAGATTAATCAATTAAATTTTGAAATAAGCTCCTAGAATTAACACCACAATTTAGTAGTCATGTCAATAGATTTTTGTCATTTCAATTTATAGAAGTAATAAATTCTCATTAAACAAGTTAAATGATAGAGAAGTATAAAGATTAAGTCCATTTTTTCCTACCATGTCTGATGTGTCCCTTTATAGTAACCAAGTAAATTTGTTGATATTATCTTTCACATGTGTAATACACATAAGTATATATTAGGTGTATATGCACGCATGCGCACATGCGTGTGTGTGTGTGTGTGTGTGTAGATGTAAAAACAGAAATACTTTTGGGTATGTTTGTGTTTTGTTTTGTATACTTTTTTTGCAAAAATGAATCATACAAGTAACATGACTTTGCAGTTTTGTTTTATACCTATTTGTTTTATACATTTAGAAAATCACCAGAGCCAGGTGGTTTTATAAGTGAATTCTGCCTAAGCTATAAAAAAAAAAAGATAGTCTCTATTTTATGCTAGTTATTCCAGGTAGGGTGTTTCCCATTTATTTAAGTAGCTAGAGTCCTAAAAACTGGTAAAGACTGTGTGGAAAAAGGAAATCTTATGCATGTCCATATTTTATGGACATCCCTCTAAGGCAATATACACAAATTTAAATGATAAGAGAATCTTATCTAGTGAGCATATAATATAACTGAGGCAACTATTCTAATATTGGTGGACATTGAGGCTATATTCTAGTAGGTTTCTTTTTGTGTATTGCTTATTTGCTTACCACTGTGAAAGAAGTTATAACAAGCATGTGTATATTCTTATATACTGACACTTTCATTTCTTTAGAATACATTTTCAAAAGTTGAATTGGTAGTCAGTATATTGTACTCAAGGGAAAAATGTATAGCTTTAAATTCCTTTATTATTCCTTAAATTCCTTTATTATTAAAAGACTGAAAATAAGGGTGCCTGGGTGGCTCAGTTGGTTAAGCGACTGCCTTCGGCTCAGGTCATGATCCTGGAGTCCCTGGATCGAGTCCCGCATCGGGCTCCC